CCTCCCTCAGACATCTTTGTCTGGTTGGCATCTATTGTCTCACGGGGCCTCTGTGAGTGAGTTTTCTCTGGTTTCCCACACTCTGTCCATTTACTGCTTCCAAGAACAAAAGAAGTGTGTCTGGTTGTGAATCACATTAATTATTGATTCAGTTTACGAGTTTTGTCCCGCTTGCCTCTGAATGAAAATTCCTGTCATCCAGACTCATCACTACGATGCTTTAGTAAAATGTCTGTGAGGAATGCAGACATCAAAAGGATTAATGAACATTCAAAAGCTATTTTCCCTATCTTTTCTATTCAGATAGTTCCCACTGAGTTCCTGGGAGTTTATGATGGAAGGATGAAAGTGAACTATCTATGGATTAACCATGTGAGCAGAAATATAACTATGTTGCATTATTTCAGTTTATAAACAGCAATATTTTTTAAATTAGAGATCAACTTTTATATTTAAAGGATTTAATTAAAGGATAGTTCTCTAGCCTTGATTTAAAGACATAAATAAAAGATCATTCTCTGACAGCGAATTCCTGTTGAGAGGATAAAAAGAATGTAATCAGTAAAATGTGATAAACTTCTCCTTGTTGGTTTCTGCTGAGAGTGATGGGACGATAAGTGTGTGCTCAGTCAAAGTCATTGATCCCAGCAACATGCAGCGGCTCTGCTCACGCTCCGGGGTCACCACTTTCCCAGATTCAAACAGTGCATTGTGCGTCCTCCCCCCCTTCAGTGCTCCTGTGGCTCCCCTGAGATCAAACTATTATCCTCAAGGCAATAATACCATTCAGTGGTTTGCATCCTTTATTGTCTCGTTGCTCTCTCTGATTGGCCAAGACTGTGAGAAACTCAAGGCAAAGCAAGACCCACACATTCATATGCAGATGTGGGGCTATATAAAGCAGGGCTGCAGACAGCACACTTCAGATTCTCGCTACAGAGACCCCAACAGCAGAGCTCCAGCAATGGCTCCTACAATCTCAGCAGCAATAACCAACTCTCAAGAACACTTGCCTCTGAATCACAAGGTAAATATAAAATCGTCAAAGATATAATATTAATGAACATTATTAGTGATCATTATTGCCATTGCTGCATTGCAGAACAGGATCACTAATGAGGTTGTTTTGTTTTGTTTCTGCAGCTCAGAAAGCCTCTGGTGGAAAAGCTACGCAGAGAGCGCATCAACAGCAGCATCGAGCAGCTCAAGACTCTCCTGGGTCCAGAGTTCCTCAAACAGCAGCCAGACTCCAAGCTGGAGAAAGCTGACATCCTGGAGATGACAGTCTGCTTCCTGAGACGACTGCGGCAACAACAGCAGCATCCATCTGTGGACTCAGTAGCTGTTGATCAAGGCTACTCCAGATGTGTTCA